TAACTTTGCCTTTAGACCAGCTTCAGTGTGGAAGCAGTTTGATAGGAGATTGATTTTTACTTTAAAGGGACAAATGCTGTAAATTTCTGAAACATTTTTACCTATTTTGTTTGTGGGTTTTTTTTTTTTTTTTTATTGCACCAATTAACCTTTTGGTTTAAGTTATCAAAAAAAGGAAAAGACATTAAAGGGATTTGTGAATTAATAAAATGAATAATGAATACCAATAATTGTTTTGTTCTTGCCCACCACTTACAGTGGACAGAGTACAGCACGTATGAGCTACATTGCCCAACGTATTCACTCAGCCATCCAAATCATTGAATTCAGGTGTTCCGGTCACTTTCTTGGGCAAAGGGATATAAAATCAAGCAGCAAGCATGCAGACTGCTTCTGCAAACACTTGTGCAGGAATGGGTCTCTCTCAGGAGCTCAGTGAATTCCAGCGTGGTACCGTGATGGGATGCCACCTGTGCAACAAGTCCAATTATGAAATTTACTCACTACTAAATATTCTACAGTCAGCTGTTAGTGGTATTATAATAAAGTGGAGGCAACTGGGAACAACAGCACCTCAGGCACAAAGTGGTAGGCCACGTAAAATGACAGCAGGGTCAGCTGATGCTGAGGCACATACTGGGCAGGGGCCACCTGCTTTCTGCAGACTCAATCACTACAGACCTCCAAATTTCATGTGGCCTTCAGAATAGCTCAGGAATAGTGTACAGATAGCTTCATGGAGTGGGTTTCCATGGCCAAGCAGCAAGGCAAAGCGTCGGATGCAGTGATGTAAAGCACTCCGCCACTGGACTCCAGAACAGTGGAATTGTTTTCTCTGAAGAGATGACTCACACTTCTCCGTCTGGCAATCTGATGGACTGGTCTGGGTTTGGTTGCCAGGGGAACAGTACTGGTCTGACTGCACCATGCCGGGTGTAAAGTCTGGTGTTGTGGGGTTGTATTTTAGGAGCTGCGCTTGAGCCCCTTATTCCAGTGAAAGGAACTCTTATTGGTCAGCATACCAAGACATTTTGGACAATGCCACATGGGAACAGTTTGGGGAGTCCCCTGCCTGTTCCAACATGACTGCACACCAGTGCAGTGCAGTAAGCACAAAAAAACCCACAGATGAGTGAGTTGGTGTGGAGGAACGTGACTGGCCTGCACAGAGTCCTGACCTCAACCTGAGTGAATCCCTTTGGGATGAATTAGAGTGGAAACTGCAAACCACATCAACAGTGTCTGACTCACAAATGGACTTCTGGAAGAATGGTCAGAAATTCCTAAATGTTGTGGAAAGCCTTCCCAGAAGTGTTGAAGCCCAGATCTAAGCGCTGCCTGTTGGTCCCACAGATCAACACGGGGTGTCCAACGTGATTGGGCCCCTGAAATGTTGGGCCAATATCATATTACATCTGCTCATGGGAATAATCTTGAGTACAGCAGTCATGACTGAAATAACGAGTGACACAAGGAGAGTTCGGGTACCACATCACTTCAGTTTAATTCTATTCTTCATCTTCTTCCATATAAAAAGAGCGTAATAACCTTTCCAGACAAACATGTTTCTGTTTTATATCTTATACACTGTCCTATAGCTGCATGTGAAAATATATTACTACATAATAGATCAACAGTCCACAATATATTATCGCTGTAATACAAGTAGTGTTTTTTTTCCTCTACCAAACAAGGCAACACACTAAATAAATGCATAGTAAAAATAAAAGAAGCAATAAGTACAAAAATATAACTGATAAAAAGCTTATTAATACAGGAGTGCTTCATCTTTGGTTAAGTACATCTTTCTTCAGGTCACTGTCTTATGTGTGTGTGTCTTCTCTTTGTTACATATTTGTGTGAATAGCTTTTATACTGCCTTTGGTCATGACATGAAGCAGTTGGAGGGGTGGGGGACAACCCCCCCCCCCAAAAAAAAACCAAAACCAAAACCCCCCAAAAACTAAAAAACCCAGCAAGCATTTCACGGCAATGGTGTGCTTATATCCTATACGTCCTCCCACAACTAGCTTTTTCCCCTTTTCACATACAAGTCTTTAACAGTGGACGTAACAATACCTGCCCGCATATTTACCTGAACACTCTCAACGCACACACACACGCCTCTCCCTAACACATACACTTGTTAAAAGGTAAAAAACCTCACATTCCTTTTTCCTTTCATTAGTTATTCCTCTGTCTGCTTTACTAGAAGTGTATGAGTGGAAAACAAAACGAAAAACAAAAACCCACGATTGTCGATTTCTGATTACACTGATAAACGAGCTACTGAAGGCAGGCGTGACTGTAAATGTGCTGTACATACATGTGAACACCTGAACATCTCAAAGATACAGAGAGTAAATTACATCATCAGGGCTTTGGTCATGGTTTAACAAAGAAAAAAATACATGGTTTTGTATCAGTACAAAATATGAACACCAGTCATTTTTAAAGGAAATCATTATATTTGAATGGTGACCTTCCTTAAGCTTTTACAGCCTATACTGGTGCAAGCACGCATCGTCTTTGTAACTGCTACCACAAAGCCGTTTGCAGCACTTCAGCGCTGTCACTGGTTTACTGGAAACTGGCAGGACTGAGGTCATAAAAGCTCTGCTTAACCATTAAAACGGGCCTGGACCAACAAAGACATTCTGACAGGGTTCAGTGAGCCTGGATACCCACAGTCATGAAGCTCATTATCAGCCAGCTCAGCTAAATCTGGTTTCCCGTCTATTCATCATAGAGCAGGAAAGGAGAGGCCAATTACAAGCCAGTTATAAAATGGTTTGTATCCATGTGTATTTCTGCAATTATCAAGGCTAAATGGCAAAAAAAAGTCTTTAGATGGTATTCAACCATGGAGGACTTCATGGCAACATAAAGGAAACAGTGAGACTAACATAAAACAAATAATTTGATTAGTACAATGGAATAAGATGCTCTTATGAAAGCCTTGAGAACCTATTAATGCTCCTTAATGAAACCGAGGTACCATAGATTATATTAAAAAAAGAGGACTTGGACAATCCAGATGGACTTTAAACTTGTATTCTCTCTCATGGCCAGTAGGGGGCGAACATCAGATTCAAATATACAACTCTTAGAGAAACCGACCCTTCCTCTGCCTTGATTCAAGAGCTCAGTGAACGTTCAACAGAGTTTCTTTTGTCCTATCACCCCCAACTGGTCGCAGCAGACGGCTGCCCCTCTCTGAACCCGGTTCTGCCAGAGGTTTCTTCCTGTTAAAAGTGAATTTTTCCTTCCCACTGTTGCCAAGTTGCTGCCTCACAGGGTTGGTTTGATTGTTGGGTTTCCTCTGAATTATTGTAGGCTCTTTACCATATAACGCGCCTTGAGGTGACTGCTGTTGTGATTTGGTGCTATATAAATGAAACAGAATTGAAATTCCCTTACAGGTTTGTGATATCAGTTGGAAATTTTAGCTCTCCTGCAATAATTTTCATTTTGTAAATTACGGTACTATTTAGAGTGAAACAGGTGATAAAGCAGGGCATACTTTTCTGGGCTCAGTCTTATGACTGAGAAGTAATAAGCCTATGGACGTGGAGTATCCTCTGTCCTCTTATCCAAGTATTGTCTAAATGAGGCTTCACAACACTAGTCCTCTCACCTCAAGATCCATATATGGGATACAAAAGACAAATGTGACCCAGGGCCTCTGGACTCTGGAGCCCTGTTTCGGCTGCTTCTGTGTAGGTCAAATAGGCCACTTGTAGCTACAAAAAACCTAAGACAGGTAAAAGTGAGCCGACTTTGTGATAGTGCAAACCTAAAGGTAGCTTGCTTCGTGATAGCAGCCCTTGGTAGATGCTCGTTTGCTTTGTTGGAAAGCCATTTCCTCTGAAGCCTCCTCAACCTTGGAGTTGTGACACTGTACATCATGGCTTGTAAAAGACACAAATAAACAACCAGAAGGGATCTCACACTGATTTTAAGTTGGCTTTAAACACTCAACAACATTCCTCATCACAAAGGCACAGAGTCATAAATAGGGATGGGTATCGTAACCCGGTTCTTGTTGAGAACCGGTTCCCACTGTTTCAATTCCTTGGAATTGTTTGCCATTTTTGCAAACGATTCCTTTATCGATTCCAGTCGTCCCGAAGGACGTCACCACGTTGCGGAGCGTCATTTACCTGGCAGGAAACACGGAGCCTAAGCGGCTCAAACGCTCAAAAGTTTGGTCATACTTTACGAGAACGGATGACAACAGGGCAACTTGCAATACTTGCAAAGTAGATATTTCATTTAAGGGAGGAAACACTACGAATATGCAAAAGCATTTGCTCACAAAACTCGCGATGACCTTAAATGAATGTCGTGTTTTTAATTTCGCTCCGGACTCGTGAATCTCAACCCAGCAGCAGCGGTAACGTTTGCACGTCCTCTCCCGTTAATGTGGCAGGTAAACAGTGCATATTATGTTAGCGCTATCTGCCTTCTTACAAAACCTGCCATTACTGTGCGTTTAGTGACCATGATGAGAGAGACAGACAGAGTCTGGCTCAGATGCTGGCAGTTCTCGCTGCAGTCTACCGGTAGCGTCTCCTTTCAGGCCAGGATAGTCACTGCTCGGTGACATTCGTCTAAGTTTGTGGTAAAAGGCTTGAACCCATTTGCCACAGCAGATGCCCCGATTTTCGGTAAGTGAATGTGTTTAATTGTTGGCAGGGACATTACTGGATATTCTTGTGTAATTGCTACAGAATAATTTATGTTACACTTTGTTATTGCTACAGAAGAATATTTATTTTATTATTTTGCATTTACATTTTTTTCCTGGGGACCCTGTGACACCCCATTGAAGAGCCGTAGGCTGTGGATCTCTTAAGATCTCACTGTTGGGTTTGTAAGGCCATGCTACTCCTAAATTTCTACCTTGTTCAGATATAAAACAAAGTTCTAAGCTAATCGACCTTAGTGTTCTCCTTTTTTAAAAAGAATCGATAAAGAATCGATTCGTTAAACAGAATCGAAAATGGAATCGGAATCGTGAAAATCTTATCAATACCCATCCCTAGTCATAAATGAACAGTAACGGCCTTGGCAGAGTGACTGTATATGTTGCCCATGCCTCTTTCTCAGAGTGTTTTCCTCTCTTTGTCTCCCTCTATCGGCGCTGAGACAGCATGACCTTGTTGATGAAGTTGACGATGGCAGAAGCAGGTTGGTCGGGGTCCAACTCAGCAAATAAGTGGCAGACGTTCTCTGCCGTGCTGCCGGGCTTCTTAGCGACAAAACCAAACACCCTGAGATGGGAAGGGTGGAGAAAAAAAGAGAGGATGTGAAAAAAGGAAGAGACAACAAAAAGAGAAGCAAAGGCAATCACACAAAGACTCTTGAGTTTGTCCAGTCTGTGACAACCTACTGCGTAAAACTACCATGAAACAATTAGTGTAACGTATGGCGTGATCATGTAGGACTTATAATTTACTAATTAAATCATCAAAAGTTTGCAGGATAAATTTTGCCAAGATGCACACACAGTTTGATGCCATGCAGCGGCATACACACGTCTATACTTCCTGTCAGCCTTTAAAACACAAACAGAGCACTTACTTAACAGTTGTGTTGTCTGAGTTAGTCCACCTAAATCCAAGAGACAGACAAAGAGAGAGAGACAGAAGACTCAGGCGTGCACATTCACACAGGCAGAGCTGCCAAACAAGCTGATGCATCCGCAGCCTCGGCCGCAGTCCGCATGCTCGCGTCTCTCGTGGACGCTCACGCACATTCATTAGCCCCACACGGGTACAGACTCACGCAAGGACTCAAGGCAACGAATGCAATGAATGATCATGATGCAGTGAGTTCCTGCTATCTGTTCATTAGCGACGGTTCTAACTAAGGCTACAAGACACAAAGATGTCTTTTTCTTCTGAGTTTCCCACCTCCTGTCCTTTGGATCGATGCTGCTGAAGGTCACACTATTCACTGCGTAATGTCTCCTGAAGAAAACTCTGGAAGAAGACAGACGTGGAAAGAAGTGCCAAAATTAATGTAAATAGTTTTCTAAAAATAAGAATCCAGGGGGGAATCTCTTACCTGCGCTGGTTGTCGGTCAGCGTGATACCCTGTGATGTCACTTTGAACTGGACGACTGTGGCAGCAGGACGCGGGCTACGACCCAATGTGGCATCTGTTGCCTTGGCAATGGCCTGGGGGCCCGTCAGGGACTCTGTTTCCACAGAGTTCAGATAGAGGACGTTACAGGCTGAGGGAAGAAGGACAGCGAGGTCAGCGTGTTGACCACAGACTGTATACGAACAATGGACGTATAGAAGACATCGTGACATCACTGGTTTATGGAAATGCATTTTGAAACCTGTCCCTTAGCTTCGCAGCCATCACCGCCTGCTCGTTTCTGGAGTAAAGTCGGGCATTTTAACATGGCAGACTTTTGGAAGCACACTCAAGTGTCCATTCAAGGAACAGCAATTTAAAAAAGAAGAAGAAAAGAATTAAATCCAGGAATAATATGATTGTAAAACATACAAAAGAAGATGATTATAGCCAATATGCTAATGAGAAAACGAAGGTTTTGTTGTGAATCAGTTCCAAAGATGAGGCGCAGCACAGTTAAAGGCTCTGACACCCGTGGTCTTAAATCTGTGAGCAGTGAGAAGAGCAGCTGAAGCTGAGCAGAAGGAGTGTAAGGATGAAGGAGGTCTGAAAGGTATGGCAGTGCCGAGTCACTGAGTCATTTGAAAATGAGAAGCAAAATCTTCTTTTGGATCCATTGAGAAATGGGGACCCAACGCTGGATGAAAATGGGTGGTAATGTCACTTTTATTGCCACTGAATTTGAACCATCATCCTAGTGGTGATGCCCTGTAGGCAGGAGGTGAGGATAGTAAGGGGAAGACAAGTTCTGGGTTTTATAGACCAATACAGTTGTGTGTCATCTGCATAAAAATGAAACTGTAAACCAAAGTGATGTAAGATATTTCTGAGAGGATGAGTTATAAATAGCAGGGGTCCCAGCACTGATCCCTGTGTGACTCAGGCTGATGGAGAGTGAACAGTCTAGCCTTGAACAAACTGTAAACCACTGAAGGGCTGCGTCACTAAATCCAGTGTTAGCCAGTCGTTCTAACAGAAGACGACACGATGTGGTGTCAAAAGCAGCTCTGCGGTAAAGGAGGATGCTGAGAAGGCCAGCATCAGATATGAGGAGGTCGTTTAAGAGCTGTTTCAGTACTCAGCTCAGAGGCTGTTATTAACTAAGCAGGGCTGGAGTTGAGATGTTACAGTGGGTTCGAGAAGAATTCAGCTGAAAATGGATGTTGGAAATATTACTGGAGAATAAATTCTGGAATACTGCACACTGTGTCATGGAGGCGAGATGAGAAGTAGTTTCTGTGGGCTTGAATAGCTTGTGTACAGTTTGAGTAATATGATGATTCGGCAGTATGTAGAGCATTCTTATTGAGGAACAATGAACAAGTCGAATTTTCTTCGACAGCCGTTAGTTACTGGTCGACTGTTTGGCACTTCCTCTTTGGCTTCCTCTTTTTTTAAACCGGACAGAAGTGCTTGCATTTTCTCTGGTGCATCTATTCCTTGCATGTTACATCATTTCTCAGCCAGGCTTTATGTCCAGTATTGCATCAGTTTCCTATTATTTGACCTGTGCAAAGGTTTTAGAAACTGAAAATTAAAAAATGTGACGTTATAGGAAAGAAAAAAAGTACCAATTTGGTACTTATTTTGTAATCTAAAAAATAAGATTTAAACTCTAAGAGTTTGCACTTAACTGTTCATACATGAATACATAACACAGTGTGTTTCAGGAATAGAGAAAGAGAGAACTTACCGGCTCCCTGCTTCAGCAGGTCAGCAGCTGTGCTGATGTTACTGACTGGTTGAACCTCCTGCACCTCTCCTATGAGATCTGACAACAGACAGATAAACCATGAATTATATCTGATAGATTACAAAATACCTTGAAACACATGATTTATTTATTTGAAGGCCTGTGTGGCCTTCAAATATTCCATTACCCTTCTCAAGGATTTTAAGAGCACAGGGCAAAGAGATGGGTGTGATGGAGTGCTGGTAAACGAGTGCAGACAGACTCCCTGTGAAAAAACAGAGGAAATCATTAATAGATCTGAGACAGCAAGGTGCACAGGAATGCCCATTTCTAACTGGAAATAGATGGAATGAAACGTACCAAAGTAGGGCTCGTTCTGACAGCCTTTAATCTTCACTCCTCGAGGACTAGTTTCAATCAGAAAATGTCTCACCAGCTGCTCCAGAGGGTCGCTCACTGTAAAAGCAGATTCATAAAAAGTTATAACGGAACAAAAACAGAGCAGAGGGACAAATCTGTCAAAATGAGACATCTATGTGATGGAGGCAATCATTTTTCACCTTTGTTGCTGTGGTTGCTGACATTGGGAGGAGGTGTAACCACCTTCAGAGCCAGCCCATAGGCTCCCTGGAACGAGTTACTATCCCTGATTAGGAAAGTGCCGGGCTCCCTCTCCTTCAGTGCTGCGATTGCTGTGCCCAAGCACAGTGATAATTTAGGAAATGTACTTATGTAGGCTTTTGAAGAAAAAGAAACAAGTATGGACTAAAGAGCTTACCTTGCTCTCTAGAGATGCTGGGCTTATACCAAAACTTGGAACTATCCTGGACAAACTTCACACTGACCCCGTTTGCAGTTTCTGCCTCTACTTGGTCATTTTGGTCAGCAGGGGGTGCAATTTCCCCCACCGTGGGAGAAAACGTGACGTGGTGCTGATGCTGAGGAGCAGTGGAGGCAGGCACGTGACCCACAGCTGGCTTTACCCCATTGCTAGGTGAACCCGAATGTCCGGGCAAATGCCGCTTCTCTGGCAAGGGGGGTTGAGGGTGAGGAAGAGGGATGGAGATTGTGGTGTAGCTCGAATAGGATTGTGGGGTGTGAGGAGAGTAGCAGGGCCTCTTGTTGGTGTCCACAGCTGCACTGTGCTCCGTGCTGGCTTGGTAGTTGTGATGTGGGGGCCCGTGCGTGTGGTTTAGGTGGTTGTGGGGGTCGGACCCACTCAGCATCAACCTTCTACCCAAGGTGGCGAATCCGGGAACTGGTGCATCAGACACAGGGGAGCTGTCCATGCTGCTGGGCCCAGGCTGTGGGGATGATGGTGCAGGAGAAGATGTTGGGTTGGTGGTGCTGGTGTGTTTAGGAACCTCTGCGTGAGACTCCCTGGTCGGATAGGATCCATTAACCAGTGCTACAGATGGTCCCACAGAGCTGGTAGCTTGGGTGTGGCTCTGAGGCTGTGACATTTCAGATGGTGGACCACCAGCTCCTGCAGGAGAAAAGGTCTGCAGTGGGCCAGCGGGATGAGGGTGTGCATCTGATATAGGAGAGGTATGGACAGGGGAAGAAGGTGTCTGGCAGTATGCTTGGTTTGTGGTGGTTGGTGTCACAGAATCACGAGCTGAGGACATATCTGAGCTACAGTGCTGCTGTTGAGGAGCAGCTGGCGACATGTTTGTTGGTGCAGGGCACTGATTGGTGGATTCTGTTTGTTTCGGTGAGGCTGTGTGTGACTGTGCTTCTTTGGTGTGTGGCTCCAGGCGCTCTGTGCTGCTTCTTTGCCTGTCTGGTGATTCCTGGATGACGTTAGTGTGACAGTGGGCCTCGTGAGTCTGGGGAGCCTCGTAGTCACTGATGATGTCTGTGGTTCGAATATCATACTCTCTCCTTCCTGGACTGGGGCTAAAATGGACACATGTGAGTATTATTATTATTAAAGACTAGCAATTCCTTCACTGTAATATCAGAGTGAACTCTCATACATTAAAAACACCTGAGCGATATACTGTATATGTAAATTAATCAAGAACAAATACAAACCCAAAGCCCCCAACACGGGCACCCTGCGTGAAATGCTTGAACAGAAGAAAATCCCCTTTTCTTTCAACAACAGTCTGTAAATTAGAGTTGGGCAGATCGATACACTGGTATTGGTAATAAATTGATACTAGGGCGTCAGGGTGATTACTTTGTTTCCATCCAGTTCAGTATGTAGGACACTGAAATGTGTTTTTTCTTTTTGGAGCATGACAAAGTAAACCTCAAACATCCACTATGAGAACTAGGGCTGCTCAATTAATCGAATTTTAATCACGATTACGATCTGGGCTTTCAACGATCATTAAAAATGACTGAGCCGATTATTAGCCCCTCCCTCATTTATCCGCGACACCTTAAAGGCCGGTCCGTGAAAATATTGTCGGGCATAAACCGGTCCGTGGCGCAAAAAAGGTTGGAGACCGCTGATTAAGAGGACCCGAGGGAAGCTCGGAAAGCTAAGCAGAAGTTATTTGGAGAGTGACTGCCGTTGGTTGAAAAGAGTCAAAAAAACAAAAAAACTTCAGTGGTGTTGCACACTATTTTATATTATTTTTTAAAGTCATTGTTAACCCTTTAAAGCTGGTCAGAGCAGCACGCTCCGTTTTGCGTAACTATTTTTAAATCCCTGTAGAACCTGAACTGTGTAAGCTAGCGCAATAATTTGTTTTGCATATGAAACCGGAGGAGTTGTACTTACATCTGATGCCATCAGCTTGTCCTCGGTCACGGTTTCGTTCCACATATAGCTTTGCAAAAACTGCATAAAAAGCGCTTGCAGGAACAAAAACATAATATTCCAGAAACACGCTTTGCTGTTCCTATCAGCTGTTCGTAACACTTCCCACAGTGAAATGATGCACCTGCTGTTTTCTTTGCAAATTTGCATCATAGGATTGTTTTTTGTTTTTCCTGCAGTATATAAAAATTGCTGTATCTCCAAAATAAAACTATGAAGACACTCAAAATAAATTTCCTGTGGTGGGAAACTATTTTTTGCAACTTTATTGTATTTAAAGTTTTGAGGGATAAACCTCTTAAACTTCTCCAAGTAGAAGTATATGTAAACAAAACAAAAGCGATTTTCAATTCTTTTTGTAGTTTATTGCACTTTTTTGCAATTTATGTAATTACTATGGACTTAATGCATACATATTATTAAAATATGGGCTATAACAGTTGTATTGATGTATAGCAACTTGAAATGCTCCCACAAATGGCACTACAACATGTAAAAAAAATAAATAAAAATAATATAAGCTCTGGTGGACTTGGTTCTATAGTAGGTCTTAAAGGGTTAAATAAATATCGTCAAATAATCGTGATCTCAATTTCAGTGAAAATAATCGTGATTATCATTTTTGCCATAATCGAGCAGCCCTAATGAGAACTATCTGAACCTTTGTGTGTTGACTGTCACGTTTACTGTTATTTTTACCCCACATTTAACCTCCTGGGACCTGGTGTCCCCATATGTGAACATCACATTTTGGGTTGTCTAGACCAAAATACTACATTTTGCTCTACAAGGGCCTGATATCCACTTACCAGGACATTATATTGCCACTGTTCTATCAAAATTTAAAGTGAATGTCTTCATATGTGGATCTCTTTTTCTTAGAAACAAAAATTAGGTAAAAACAAACAAAGTAATTCTTTGTTTTTACATTCATCAGGTCCCAATCAGCCCAAATAGCAAAGAGATATTAAAAATGCATGCCATGAAAGAGTTTGGGTCTTCGGAAGTTAAACAACAGAAGCTGACCCAAAGTCGTAGTATGTGGTTTAGCACTGTCTTGCTGAAATATCCAAAGCCTTACCTGAAAAAGATTTGATCTAAATTGGAGGATAAGCTGCACTAAAATGTGTATATACCTTTAAAGTGATAGCACCTTTCCAGATGTGTTAAAAGAATAGGGAGTGCTACACAGCGGTAAACATGTTACTAATATTTTTCTTAAAATTGTACTTTTTTATTTTTAAACAGTTTATTATGTGTCTTATTGTGAATAAAATTTGAGTGTATGAGACTGCAAATCCTGGCATTCATTCCAGACTGTTTGGGAACTGGGGTTGTATAATCGGACTCCTGCGCATCGGTCTGGCTTGTGCTCTGATCAGAATTAAAGTTTTAAACTGTACAGTAACAGTTCATTTGAGATTTTACAGTAAAGACTCCAGGATATTAGCGAGTGATCCCAAAACAAGCTGCATGTTAGCTGGCACCCCCGCTCCTTCATGGCGTCTGACCGCTCTGTTCTGTGCTGTGTCTTCATCATACTTTCCCCATGAGCCATGCCACCAAATATAAATTCCAATAGAAAGAAATAAGCTTTTGACTATGGTGTTCTAATTAGACTAACATTATTTATGATTCACTGTCATAGCTACATATTTATTTCCACTACGGTTGTGAGAAACAGCTCATCCGACACTACCAAGGTTGGGTAGCAGTGGAATACCTTTCCTGTGTGCGTAGAGGGCTGCTGGTGTGAACGGGAGTGGGCGATCCAGACATGTCGGATGGTGTGGAACACGCGGCATGGCCGTTTCTGTGCACCCTCTTAAAAGAACCATGGGTAATGTGATCCCTCCAGCCCACGCTTTCACCAGAACTACGGAGGCCATCTGACAGAGGATGGAAACAATGAAGCATTTTTACTAAAAATGACCTCAGTAAACAGCATCAGCTGTTACTTAGTTAATATGTTCCCAGCTGATTCTTATGCAAGTTCCCTGTAAAAACCCAGTCTGTGCTTAAGGCATGTATCAAGTTAAAACCAAATTTTCAGTGCATGCTGTTCCTCATTATTCCTACATTACTGAGTGTTTTTGTTTTAATGTGACTCACCAGTGTGTGAGTCAGAGCTGTATGACTGCTGTGAGTCTGGATGGTGATGATGGTGGTTGTGGTTATGCTCTGCTGGTCCGCTGCTATGGCCGCAGTGGCCCATCACAGCGGAAGCAGGAGGCAGCGGGGATGTGGACTCGGACTGGTAGCCTGAAGCGTAGCCCCTGCTCTCAGATGGCGAGGGTTGGTAAGGTGAGCAGGGGCACACCTGACGTGGTGTCTGGTAACCGCTGCTGCTGCTGCTGTACTTCATGTCCAGGTGGGAATGAGCGTGGGACCTCGATGCCTCTGGATAAGCTGGGTGACCTGATGGCAAGGGGTCAAAGGTAAAGGCTAGAAGATCTTGGCCCTGTGGGCCATAGGAGGCTACGGTGGCTCTCCTGTGCCAATATTCAGCCTGTCTGTCCCTCTCCCACTGCAGCTCCGCCTCCCTGTCTCGCTCCCAGTGAAGGGACAGTTCTCTGCCTCGTCTCAGCCCTGGGTCCCTCTCCCAGTGGAGCTCTGACCCCCTGGGTAACTCCTCCCTCGTTCTCCTAAGCCCCACCTCCCTCTGATGAAGCTCCGCCTCTCTGTCCCAATGGAAGTTGTCGCCACGCTCCATCCTGAGGGTGTGATAGGCCACCGAGTCCTCTCTCCTCATGCTGCAGTCTCTGCAGGGACAGCCAGAGGGCGGCAGACCATCCATTAGCATGATGTCATGGTAAGTAGGGCTGGTGGCTGGTTTCTGGTGCTGGTGGGGATGGTGGTGGCTGTGAGGTGGAGGAGGGTGGTGAAAGGGTGTGTACTCATCTTCCCGATAGCAAAGGCGACCTGGGGCAGACATAGGGTGGTGATGGGGGTGGTTGTGAGCATGAGGGGCAAGGTCTGCTGATGGGTAAGGACAGGTATGACGGGATGACGGAGCCTCTGAGCAGGAGCGGTGCAGGTAGTGTGGCGAGCCACTCTGACGGTCCCACACCAGATCTGGAGGTGGGAGGGACTGGTGGGAGTGGGGGCTATAGTGTTGGCACAGATCCATGTGTGATGGTGGAGCAGCGGGGTTGGGGCTAGCTGAAGGAGGAGCCCCGTGATGGCCGTTGGTCCCTGGAGCCCGATCGAGGCAGTAGCCATTAGGCATGAGAAGGGTGCGGTCGCATCCTGGCTCTGCACAGCGCTGCGACCGGTAACCATCCCGGCAGGAACATGACCGACTGAGCCTCAGCGTGCCCGTTCTCTCAGACTGAATAGAATCTCCATCATCCAAAATGGCGGTCTCTCGCTCTCCATCTCGGCTTCCCTCGATGCCGCCGAGAAGACGTTCGAGCTCCTCCCTTTCCTGTCTGGTGGGCGGCGGCGGACGATTGGACTCCTCCTGATGGTCTGGATGGATAGAAGACTGGTTCAAATGGAGGGAATGTGCTGAAAGGCCGGAGTCAGAGCCTTGGGTGATGCGGTGATCGGGCCTGTCTTCTGCAGCTACTCCCCCTGCGATGCTGCCGTTGGCTGAGGTGAGAGAACCAGAGCCTGGACCTCGCCGCTTCTTTATCTGAGCGTAGAGGCTACCATCCAGAGGACCTCTGGTGTGGGCAATATCTACGACGCAATGATAGATAAACTTAGTTTTTAATCTCACAATAAACATCAGCTACTGTTGGAGCTTTAGTAGACTTAAGTATACTTGAACTCTGTCTTAATAATGGCTAGCACCATGAGTGCTGCTGTTAAAGGCTTCTACCGCTCCACCATGACGACTATGAAGACATCGGTTACCTTCCAGGCTATCCTGGTATCGCTGGTTAAAATTTTCATAGGAATCCCAGCGAACCACGGGGTCAGCGGTGTTGTAGTCCACTGTGACAGCCGGATCATTCTTGTGGTATTCACGGCCTGAGAAGACATATATTACCGTGTAGTTCTGTTCCTCAAAATATAATCAAAACATTTTTTTCCTTTTTGTAGGAGCCTATCCCAGCACAGGGCTAACAAACAAACAACCATTCATACTCACAGTCACACCTACGGGCAATTTAGAATCACCAGTTAACTTAACCCCACCAACTGTATGTCTTTGGACTGTGGGAGGCTTGATTACTTATTATTATTATCCCCCCCAGAAGAAACTGTGAACTAACCTTTGATCCGCTCTGGTCCGGAGGAGAAGACAAACTCCACTGTGGCATCAGATGGGAAACGCTCATCTGGGGAGGAGGAAAAAGGATATTCCCCACGATCAGGATAAATATTTTTGTTCCTAGCTTAAGAAATATACCCACAGTCTACAAATATACATGATGCATTGAGTTTTTCCTTTCCAGTCACCTTTCTCACTCACTATGTATTAACAGACCTCTCTGCATTGAATCATATCTGTTATTAACCTCTGTCTCTCCTCCACAGCATGTCTTTACCCTGATCCCTTCTCTCACCCCAACCGGTCGCAGCAGATGGCCCCGCCCCGAAGGTTTCTTCCTGTTAAAAGGGAGTTTTTCCTTCCCACCATCGCCAAAGTGCTGCTCATAGGGGGTCATATGATTGTTGAGTTTTTCTCTGTACCTATGAAGCGCCTTGAGGTGACTTTGGTTGTGATTTGGCGCTATATAAATAAAATTGAATTGAATTGAAATATCGGCGTAATCTCCACATGAGATCCAGATTCATGAAAGCATACTGGTGCTTTTGAGACATGTAGAGTATATCTGAAGGAAACAAACTGCTGCTTCAGGATATCAAATACACTAATGCGTTTCACAGATGTGTTTGGAGTTGTATTTACCCACAGTCATGTGTTCATGTGTAACGGATCGACTGCCACAGAGCTTTAAGAACATGCTTCCACACATATTCTGTCATTTCAGGGGGAAAAAAACGACGAGGAAATGAAGTAATGAGCATATTCATTATGGGCTTAAGCAGCAGATAAGCACTTATTAGATATGATTCAATCTCTCTGTGGGATATTTGGCGATGTACGGTATAGCACAGCTCACACTCACTACCCTCTCCTCCAGCGAGCTGCTATTATATCCTCAATGGGGATTAAGCTACTACTATTGTGGGATTTATTTAACCATGACATTAAGAAGCCAAACCGCTGTGAATATATTCCCACAATGCCAATTCAAAGAGCTGCTATTATGTCAGTTAGTTGTAAGTGGTGATTATCCAACCACCACTAACAAGTCGTGCCAGAGTGACAATTTCAAAGTATCCACAGAAGCAAAATCGGGCATGTAGGGAGCTTTATCATTTGTTTCTGAATGTTTAAAGTGAGATTATTTTTATTCTAAGCTAATTCCAAAAAGCTGGGATGCTGAAATCTCATAAACTGATAAAACATAGCATAAAACACACATAATTAGGTTAACTGGCAACATGACAGTAACATGAATGGGTATAACAAGAGCTTCTTAGAGAGGCAGTTTCTCAAAAGTAAAGCTTGAAGTGGTTCAACAATCTGAAAAGCACAAACTATGGGACTTTTTTAGAATAACGTTTCTCAACATAAAACTGAAATCCGTGTAAATGTCATCATCTACAGTACATACAGTACAAAATGCACAGAAATGTCTGTGTGCAAGCGAAAAGGCTGGATGTACATATTGGATAACAGTGATTTTTGGGCTCTCAGCTGACACTGCATATTACTGGCTCTTTTGCTATTATCAATATAATATAATACCTGCAAATTTTCTACTTATCACTTCAGTTTCTCAAACTTTGACCCATCAGGCGGTGCTCTACACAGTGTGCAGGGGAACCTGCAAGCTTAGAAGCTACCAAACACAAAACGCCAAAGAAATGTGATCCTGATCAAATTCAGTCAAGTGAAGCCAAGCAGACCTGACTGTACAGAAATCTGTGGATCCATTTGTCACGATTTCTATTTAACATCTTCATTCTTGAATCAATAATTTTAAAATATGCCACCTAAATTTTAATAATGTGGACTGTAAAGTCGCTGAACTGAAAAACAGGCATGCAGCTACAGCAAAATGTGTTTCTTTGAGCACAAAGCAAAGAAAAGTAAGCTTCATTTTCATGTGCAGCTAGTTTTGTGGCAGAATAGGCTGCATAGTCCAGATAAACAACATCTTTTATTTTCTTTTTTCTAAAATGAAAATTCCTGAATTGTCATTTTGCTTTAATTAGCTTAAATTTTAGAGTGCATGCACTTTTACTGGACTGCACATACTACATGTAGCTGTCACAATCAGGGTTTTGAAACAGGTTCCTCTGAGTTGTTACGGTAACCTTCTTAGAACTATAATCAGAGTGCTGTATTTAAATGCTAATCATTAATAATCATTAAATTAACGCCGCCAACGAATTTCCCAGAGTGGTCCAGAGTGACGCACCAGTACACGCTTCGTCCAGCTCCCCTTTGCCAAACCACAGCTGGGATCCGTGGATGGTGCAGGTGTGGAACTGCAGCCTGAACACGGTGTCTCTGTCAGCACTTTGAGCTCGCCTGTGGTAGCACTTGACCTGCAGAGGGCAGCAGAGAGTGAGGAAGAAGAGCTGCAGAATAAAGTGCATGTGGGATAATGACAGCTTGGCGCAGTAAATAAAGGGATTTGTGTTCCACATGAGTGACACCTACAACTTTGGAAATGGCGGAGCACACAAAACAAATTATGACTCCGTGTTAACAAAGGGAAAAGAAACTTTTCCAGACCAAAATGTATATTTTAGAGATTTTACCACAGTTGTTTCATGTTTGTTGAGCATAAATTAAGTCATTTAGCCATAATCCCACCCCCACCCATAACTGGGGGCTTCTGGTTGTCATTTCCTTCCCATATGACTCACCATGATGTCACCCTTTAGCAGCAGTGCTGGTTCAATGGTCACACACAGTCTTCTGCCTCCAGTGCCTTGAAGGTCACTGTGGACAATAAAGGGTACACAAACGAGCCTGTTACGTATCCACGGAAAGCATGGGGGTGTACATGGGGGTGTAAGGAGTGTGAAAGATCGATTGTTTACACTTGTTTTATACTACCACAATCTGTGACCATGTTCTCTCAACACTTTTAAACCTGGAAAAAGCCTTGAGGTAAAAATGAAAACATGATAGGAGGCGGAGTAAAGGAGAAGAAACGCATCCCTTTACTCCCGTCTCTTTAATTACGCTGTGATGATGCTGAAACTTCAGCGCATGAAAGAAAACATCCCAGAGCAAACAAATACATTCAGCTTATCCGGGCTATCAGTTGGCCTCACGACAGAAAGATAGACTCACTATATGCCTGAAGTGTAGACCAACTGCATGGACTGGTAGATTTTCAAGAAAGGGTAGTAACCTGGAAAGAGGAGAGAGAGATTTTAGACATGGCAGGCACTATCAGCACGAAGACAGGAATGCGCTGACTCCTCGTGGACTCGATCATCAGATTAACGTGTGTGGGTAGAGGCTGTATGTGACCGTGCATGTCATCTGCATTCAATAACACTGTCCCAGCACCTAGCCAAGAAAAACATGGCGCCGCATGTGCATTTTATCTGCGTAAGGAAGCAGAGTGAGGACGGACTGGAGATAATCAGACAGGAGATTAGATACCTCAAGTCTGTTTACACTTTTCTCACTTGTATTTTACCTCTCACCCTGAGGGGTGAACTGCAGTTCCTCCAATGGCCACTTGAGGCCATCCCCAATGCCTGACTTCGACCATAAAATGAACACAACTACAGCAACGATTCGGATCTCTTCAGCTAAACAAATATACATTTAGTATTTTATAATAATCCAGTTGGATTTTGTTTTGGCTTTGATGTTAGGCTTTGCTGAACTGGACCTCTCGACTACGTTTGCTCAGTTGACACCTTTTCAAGCGCATGCCTTTTTTAAAATCTAAATAGACAGTAATGCTCAAACTGTTAAAACTGAAGCTTCAAAATGCAGAATCAAAATTCCACACTGAGTATGAGAGAGAGATTTGGGGTTAAGAACAGGCAGAAATACATTTTTTATTCAGTGATTTGGCCAAAAGGTCAGGAAACACACCTCCTTCCCCCTGGAAGTTGGGGAGCGACGGGATGAGTACTTGATGAAGGAAGAGAGGGCTGCTGTTCATCTTGATCGCCCCAGACAGAAGGCCTCCAAAGTAATATATATACCTGGAATATAAAGAGGGATTATGAGAAGTTCTTATCATGGAAAATTACATTTACCACCTCTGAGGACAAATGATAAATGTAAAACAGCCGCTGAGCCCTGCTGCTGTCAGACAGCCCCCAACAGCGGAGAGCCAGGTACGAAAGCAGCAAGAAATATCTAACGCCGGCTGTGTGGACTCCACGTTTCCATTTCCCATCTGTCTTCTTGTCTCCAACACAGCTGGAAGTGATTCGATATTCCTTAATCAGTTGTCATTTCCTTGAGCTCTGTGTTGGCCTTTAATCGTCGTAAGACGTGAGTTTCTTTTAAAAGTATCTATGTGTGAAGCTGCACACTCAGCAGGCAAAGAGCTCAACTCAGCAGTTCTCCAAAAGAAGCGGGCAATCAGGTGACAAATATGAAAGGAAACTAATTCAATAAGAATTTTGCAGACAAAATAAAATTATTATGGTACTGTGCTGACCTCAAATTGAATCTGTTTATATAATTGAAGGTAAAAATGACTGGGAGTATTACATTTTTCATATTCTGAAGTAAGACAGCACAACATCAGAAAAGCACCTTAAATCCAGTTACAGCATGTACATGGACAGTTTGTTGATTAGAAGTATGAAATGTTCCCTCTGTTTAAAGCGGATTGCACCCTACACAACTTCTGGCTCTAGTTTCTTTTTGTAAACATACAGAAATACATGTTATATACACATAAAGATGAGTCAGAAAATGCTAAACTCTTTCCTGAAGTATTAACATTTTATTAAAGGGGACATATATGTAGAGTTTTGGTAGAGTAGCTCTAAATGATTCACACTTCTATATCTTATGCTGGTTGGACCTTCCTGAAACCCATGGATTCTCCCTCTCAGTGAAATATCCCCTTTTAGCTCCTGTATTTTTAAAAAGCACCCGCCTTCAAATTCCACTTTCTTCTAAACGTAAGCTTCCTGAAGAGCTGCACCTGGTGCTTGGTAGTTGGGTGCTCTGTGCATGCTGCAGATAACCGTGTAAAAGTGTCAGCTCATCGCATCAGTAGAAGCCAGTATTCAGGGCAATCTGAACCCTGAGACCTTTGCTCACAGGGATTCATTTTATACAGGATTATTTGAGTATTTGGGGATGGAATTATTATTATTAATATCCAATACTGTAAAATTAGATATTTGGCAGAAAATAAGGAAAAACTAATGAGGTCCCCTTTAGTGTCTGGGGTAAGCGTACTTACTATTCTGTCAAAGGGAAAAGGATTATATTCCATCTAAGGAGCCAAATTCACTTTTTTATTCAATTTACAAGCTCCATCTTTCTTTCATTTCACCTTTTAAAATCATTTTCATACTAGGAAAAGCATGATTATTACTAACAAGATTGACAATAGCTGTGTTGTTCTATTTAAATGCCCAAAACTCTGACAGGGAGCCAGAAGCTGAGGCAGCTAAATGATATGGAGCTCTGATTCATTATATTATTTGTTGAGCTATAAATCCAATCCAGAATCCTAAAATACATTTCTTTCCCCTAGAGGATGGAAGGATGATGCATTTAATAACTTTAGTATGACGTGGGAAACCCACACTCACCACTTCTCCCCACCCCCACACCCACTCATTTTCCACTCAGATCATCCCGTGGCCTCTACCTGTTTTGGGACGGCTGGAGAGACGAGGACACCTTATCTTCACAGAACTTCCTCATGGCAAGAGTACTGAGAGCCTGGTCCGCCCTGTAGATGAATGCACAAATACACACACACACACACACACACACACACACACACACACACAC